CATTTAGGAACACTAGACGGCACTTTAGCACTACACTTGGGGGCATTTTTTAAAAGATTACCAAACTTTGTTTTCTAGAGCAAGTTGAGTTCACAGCAGAATTGAGTGGGGACAGTACAGAGAGTTCTCTTATGTCCTCTGGCCCCACACATGCACAGCCTCCCACAGGGGCCATTTTAAACAGCGGAATCACCCACAAAACATAAAAATACAGAAAACATGACACCGTAGACAATGAAAAGGACACTTGTTTACAGTATAAGAAGGGAAGCCGAAAGGCAGAGTGTTGCCTTGTTCCACCTCAGCTGGGACTTGCTGCTCTGTGGTGACTGAAAGTGCTGCAAGTGTTGACTGGGGCTACCAATAGATGTTGGGAGCAGGCAGATTCACATAATGTGAGTTGGTTCTACTACTTTAACTATAGTAATTTGATGGAGTACTTTTTAGTATCTGGGAAAGCAAGGCCCTCATTTCTTTTTTCAAGAATTTATTGTTTGCAACTCTTAAAACTCAGTAATAGAAAGACAATCTAATAAGACAGTGAACAAAGGATTTGAATAAACGTTTCTTCAAAAAAAGATATACAGATGTTGAATATGCATATGAAAAGATGCTCAACATCATTAGCCATCAGGGAAACGCAAATCAAAACCACAGCGAGATGCCATCTCATACCCAGGAGAATGGCAGTGATGAAAAAGACAATAACAAGTGTCAACAAGGACATGGAAAAACTGGAACCATCATGTACTTTCATGCTTGTGAGAATGTAACATGGTACAGCTGCTTTGGAAAACAGTTTGACAGTTCTTGAAAAGTTAAACATAGATTTACCATATGACCTGGTAATTCTACTTCTAGGTATGTCCTCAAGAGACCTGAAAATATGTCTGCAAAAGCATGTACAGAAATGGTCATAGGAAAGTTCTTCATAATAGCCCTCAGGTAGAAACAGCCCAAATGTCCATCAACTGATGAATGAGTAAACAAAATGTGATATATCCATACAGTGGAATATTACACAGCAATAAGGAATAATGAAGTCCTGGTACATGCTATCTCAAGGATGAGCCTTAAAACATTATTTAATAAGCAACCTGACATAAAAGGCCACATATTGTACAATAATTCTATGTAAGGTGTCAGAACAGGCCAATCCACAGAGACTAGAAATAGATTAGTGCTTGCTTAGGGCTGGAGGGAGAGGGGTTAGAATGTGGATTGCATTCTAATGGGTACAATGTTTCTCTTTTGGGGTGATAAAAATGTTTTTTTGCTGTCTTTTTTGTTTTTTGAGTTGGAGTCTCACTCCTTCGCCCAGGCTGGAGTGCAGTGGCACACATGCTCACGGCCACCCCAGCGTTGAACTGGGCTCCAGTGATCCTTCCTCAGCCTTCTGAGTAACCAGAACTACAGACGTGCGCTACCATGCCTGGCTGTTTTTTATTTTTTACTGTAGAGATGAGGTCTCGCCAAGTTGCCCGGGCTGGTCTTGAACCCATGGGCTCAGGCAATCCACTTGCCTCGACCTCCCAAAGTGCTGGGATTACAGGCTGAGCCACCGAGCCTGGCCAGATGAAAATATTTTAAGATTAGGTAGTGGTGTTGGTCGTACAACTGTGAGTATACTAAAACCCACTGAATTGTACACTTTAAATGGATAAATTTTATGATATGTGGATTTTATCTCAATAAAACTTTTTTTTTAACATGTAGTGTCTACACAGAGAAAGCAAAATAATACTCTTTCTCTCCAGTCCTACTGTTCTCGTGCATACCATAGGGACATCCTTGCTGTCTGGTAGGCCATAAGCAGTCAGAGGTGGGAGTGCCGGGCCTGTCATTTGCCCATGCAAGGCTCGTAATATATCCTGTGACTGTTCCTGTGCCTGAGGGGCATGTCCTCCATAGGTTTTAAGTAGTGACCATACTTTGTAATCCATTCATATTTCCCAGGATGCCTTCTGGCACTTAAACTTTCTTGCATTTAAATTGGACAGGCAGTGGATTATTGTCTGAATTGCACACATTTACTCTTCTAGATGAGCCTTAGAATCCACTTGTCACAGCCCTAACCTTCACTAGTAAGAAACTCTGATATGGTTCTGATTGAGCTGTGTTAAATGCATATACAATCTATGGCTTGGGGGAGATTTATATTGAGTCTTCCCATCCAGGGTCATAACATAGTACATTTCTTTCTTTATTCAGGTCTTATGTCCTTCACCTTCACTAAAGTGTTACAGTTTTACGTGTCTTGTTAAGTGAATTGCTAGTTATCATGAATGAGATCATTTTCCATTTCAGTTTTTAATGGATTATGGCCAGCAGAATAACAAAGCCTACTGATTTTTAGATATCCAGATATCTGTATCCTATATTCTGCTACCTTGTTAAATTATCTTTTTCATACTCGTTTTTTTTTTCACTTGTGTTGCTTAGACTTTCAGGGAATGCCACCTCCAAGTTATTCTCTTAGTTTCTTATTCTTGCTTGCTTTTTCTTCCTTGATTTTCCTTCACTGGGGTTTCTTCCTTCACCTACTTTTTAAGGTATATCCACCTGGAAATCCCAAGAATATCTAAAACTCAGCATGAAATTCAGCAAGTTACAATTAAAATAATCTCTTTACTCTTAGGTTCAGAGCTGCTTGCTACTACTATCCCATGGGGCACCTTTATACAAATTGGAGGAAGGGGTGGCCCTTTCTCCTGACATCTGACTCCCAGCTCTGGGGAAAATTGTCATGATTTACTGATCCTGTTGAAATATGACACCTTACTACAGACAAAGGTCATAATGAGTCTGCAGATCTCCGATGTCTCCCATGTTGGTGCTCCCTAGATGAGGTGCTCTTGGACCATGTCACCCTCATGAACATCCAAGATAGTGGATTTCATCATTACTGATTCTAGAATCCACCCCTTTCCTCCCAGTCCCGCCATCTCAGTCATTATATTTCACTTTTCATCACAGTACAACCGTCTTCTATCCAAAAAAGGGGAAGACAAAGTGTGACCAGGTCTTCCTCTTCCCAGCCTCTCTCTTCTAGGGCACCCTAATCACAACCCCAAATACTCTTCCTAGAATGTCAGGAAACCCCTGCTTAAAAGCCTCTGATAGTTTCTTGTTGTGTTTTTGGTAGGGTCAGACTTGCTTCAAGCCCTGGAAGCCCTTGTCACCATCTTCCTCTGCAGCTGCCATTTCCTCACAGCTTCCTGTCACCCCTGGCCCAGTATCCCTCTGGACTCTCCCTGTCACACTCTGACACCTCGGGAACTTCCTGTCACCTCTAACTTTGAGTTTGTTTGAGAATAACAATGCCCCCTCAGAAATTATATGGTGAAAATTAAGTGCTGTGACCACACGTAAGTGACTAGCACAGGGCCTGGCGCTTACTGCACTAGCTTTCTTTCTCCTTCCCGTTCCATTATAAGCACTTTGGAAACCGAAATGCTATATAATTGTAACATGTTGCTGTGATTATTTATGCCTCATTATGTGTTCATTACCCGGAATTCTTGCATATTGGTAAGAATTTGTCATATTTGACTCTAAATAAGGAATATTTGAAAATATTGGAGAAGGAAAAACAGCATGCAACTTTGCAGCCCCAGTGTGCCACTGAAACAGGTGGCATTAAAGGGTTTCAGCCACCCCTGGAGGTTCATGGTGAGCACTGGGAGGAGGGTCCCCATCCAGTAGTAGGGTGCAGCAGTACTCTTCTGATTGATCATCTGTCTGCAGGCAGGACAGGCTGAGAAGGGCAGCTGCCACAAGGGAACACAGGTACCATGAGAGGGGATTTCCTGTACCCCACTAATACTGCCTCAGAGAAAGTGAGGTTGGAGTGCTTATTACCAACTACAGAAACTGTTGTGTGGTTCAGAGTCAGTTTCCAAGTGTGTGTTTATTGGTTTAAATAATTGACTTGGTTTCAGCCACATTTGGTTGTCTGTTGTTTTTTGTTCTAGGCTCTCTCCTGATTTGGCTTCCATTGGGTTTTAATCATAACCATCTTCTGAAACATTTTGAATTCCAATTCAGTTTTAAACAAACACATCTCTCAGAGAACACAGATGAAACCCAGAATGGGGCAGAAAGTAAACAAGAAGTAATGGAATGACATTATAATCGCTTCTCAGCCTTTTGGCTAATATCAAGTGTGGAATAATATTATAAAAGGATACTGTCAGAGGGAGGAACATAGAGAGACTGGGAAAGGCTGTGTAGAAAGAAGAACCCCTTAGTGAAGGAGCCATCCAGGGAAAGGTGTCAGGGAGCTGGTTGGCACTCACTTCGGGGACCAGAGGGCTCTTCCATTTCTGACCAACCCCAATGATGGTTAGTAGTCCACTGCTCTCTGAGCAAGGACCTGGCTGTCTTATGGGCAGATGCAATTCATGGGACTCCAGAGATGGCCCCTGGAAAGCCCTGTCTCCCCTCTCCAACCCCTCTCTCCTGCACCCCTTTCTCACTCTTCCTTCACAGGATCATCCTGGCTCCCATGTGAACCCAGATCTAGGCACACATCGAGAGTGTGAGAGAAGATATGTTAGGGTGTATCCATGGGCGACGGTGGCATCACCCTTTCTACTGCCCCACCACCCATATGCTGTAGCCATTTCTGGCACGTGGGCCACAGCTTGCAGAATGTTGGGAGAACAACATCTTTAGCCCCCTTTGCCGAGTGCTTTTTCCAACTGTTGTACTTTGTTGATTTGAGTTAGGAAATACATGTACATGTTAAAATATATTTTCTACAAAGTACAAAAAGAGAAAAGTACCTCTCCTTCCCACCTCTTTTCCTAGGGCCCTCTACCCTCCTCAGAGCCTCCTTATTTCTTCACATGTCCCTTTGCAGAGCTCTCCAGTGCTTTTTGTTGTTAGCTTTTCAAAATTGCTATGATCTCTCTCCTCTCTGCATTCATTGCTGGAGCTACCGGATGTACCAGCTGTGCCCTTCCTACATCTGCCTTCTCTGTGTCCCTTCCTCTCAGACTTTGACCCCTGGTGGACAAGTGACTGTCAGCAGAATGAGTCAGAGCCCATCCCTGCCAACTGCACTGGCTGCATCCAGAAACTACCCCTGAAGGTGATGCTTCTGGAGGATGCCCCGAAGAAATTTGAGAGGCTTCATCCTATGGTGATCAAGGTGAGCAGGAAGCCCGAGTACCCCTCTGACGGACCAGATCAGTCTCTGTGAACTTCCTGACAAGTAACTCCGTGTTGTTTTGTTTTGCTTTGTTTCCTGCCTTGTAAGACTGGGCAGCCCCTGTTGACTGAGGAGATTCAGCATTTTTTGTGCCAGTACCCTGAGGCGACAGAAGGCTTCACGGAAGGGTTTTTTACCAAGTGGTGGCGCTGCTTTCCTGAGCGGTGGTTCCCGTTTCCTTATCCATGGTGAGTGTGGAAAGGGGCACTTAGTTTGTATGTAGGAAAGGGGTAGAGCAGTAACACTGGCAGAATGGGAACAGCTGCCACAGAGGCCTCCCGTGGGTCCAGCGCTGTGCAGTACTTTATGGTCCACCCTTCAATGATAGGAGCTCACTGATAATCCAGTGGGGAGAGAGGAAGGGGATGAGTGGGAAAGGTGTCAGAAGGGTGTGCCCCCACAGGGACACCCACGATCGCCTAGAAGGATCATAATGTTCAGCAGCTTCTGTAGCGCGGGGCTTGAGCTTTGAGGGCTGAAGAGAGAGCGTGAAGCATGGAAGGTGAGCTGCACTTCCTGGCACTTGTTTGTGCCAGGCATGTTCCTCTTGGTGCTTAGTGTCTGTTGCTCACTGGTGATACTCATAATAGCTCTAGGAAATAGGATGATTCTTTTCATTTTCCTGATCAGAAAAGTGAGAATTGGAGAAGTTAAGCAACTTGCCCGTGGTTATCCATCCAGGGTTGAAACCCTGGTCTATCTTCCTGTTCCTTCCCATGTCCTATAGAAGACATGGTCATTCCTTGGGATTAAGCTTGCTCTCCAGCAAGAAAAGAAAAGTCAGCCTCCAAACGAGTATTAAAATGGCATTTTCAGACTTGTTAATTTCTTAATGCTTCCACTTTTCTGTAAATCTGCTGTTTGTGTGATAGAATACCCATTTTTTTTTTGTTTTGTTTTTTTGAGTCTCACTCTGTCACCTAGGATGGAGTGCAGTGACACACTCACGGCCACCACAGTCTCGACCTGCTGGGCTCAGGTGATCCTTCCACCTCAGCCTTCCAAGTAGCTGGAGCTACAGGTGTGTGCCACCACACCCAGCTAATTTTTTAATTTTTTGTAGAGACGAGGTCTCGGCCATGTTGCCCAGGCCAGTCTCAAATGCGTGGGCTTAGGCAGTCCTCTCACCTCAGCCTCCCAAAGAAAGTACTGGGATTACTGGCGTGAACCACATTGTGCCCAGCAAATGCCCAGTTTAATAAATTAGTCATGCTTGCCCCCTGCTCACCCCTCTGCCTTAGAAGAGAGGCCGTTCTTTGTGCCTCTTCTTCTCCCTCCTGCTTCTTCCCTTCCCCCACCTGGCCTGCTGTTACTTCACTATCTTTTCCAAGATAAAATGAATAGATTGCTTCTTTCCTTCTATATGTTGTTTTAGCTGCATTTTTACAAACATTCCACCCACATGTCCAAATCATACATTTATGCCTGTGTGTGTACATGGTGTAATTGATTCTACACAACTGTTCTCCAGGGACCTAGCACTTCAGACGTTGCACTGACGTTCTTCCCTTTTGACCCACCGCCCACAGTATCCCCACCCTTGCTGAAGCTCTGTTAGTCATAGGGATAGGCTGGCTTGCCTGGCTGAGTGACATTTTTCTTTTTCAAACTTTTACAGGAGAAGACCTCTGAACAGGTCACAAATGCTACATGAGCTTTTTCCTGTTTTCACCCACCTGCCATTTCCAAAAGATGCCTCTTTAAAAAAGTGCTTCCTCTTTCTTCCGGAATCTGTTGTGGGGACTAAGGTAGGAAATTTTGGATCTAGAATCTTCCTCATTTGGGATCTGGACTAATGTCATAATCAAGGCCTTCCTTGGAGTTGACTTAGAGGGTGAATCGAGGGGACATCCACATCATCTAAAGTTCTCTCCTCCTACTGCTAGCTAGGAGGCCTGCAGTGACCCACTCTTATGAAGACATGTTTCCAGAAAGTCCAGTTGCCTTGCAAATCTGTTTCCTGCCCTTAACACCTGGGGGGTAAGCTGCTTTTCTGCACTGAAGGAATCTTAAAATGTGAAGGGACTTGAGTGTACAGTTAGTCTGACTTTCCTGCCTCATATTTAAAAGTAGGCAAACTATAAGTTAATAGTATGTAAATGATCAGTCTAACTCCTTCATTTTGTATGTAAGGAAACTGAATCACAGAGAGGTTAAGTGACTTGCCCAAGGACATGGAATGGGTTAACAGGAGGACTCTGCAGGTTGGCTTTCCCAAGAAATAAACAGATAAGAGACATCAGGTGGAGAACTGGCAAGGCAAAAAGCTTGGATCCTGGGGAGGATTTGACAGGCCCATACTGGAAACAGGCAGCCCAGCTGGTGGAAGGGTCCACTCTGCTCCAGTCCTCTCTACCTTAGACTGAAGTCAAGTGCCCAGAACCCAGACTTGCCTTTCTGGGGACCAGTAAACTGGGAGAAGCTGTTCTGTGTTGATGTCTGTTTACTTTTCTCTGAATTGCTCCTTTGATGAGTCTCATTCTTGCGGAAGGTTTTGGAGCCTAGATTCTTTTGGAAGAATTAAAAATATAAATTTCCCAAACTGTGATCCCCTGGCTTCAACCTCCTGATACTATTGTTTGGCTCCAAATTTGCTGAATTGTGTTAAAGGAATTTAAAAGCCTATAAAAACAGTCATTTGTCTAGCAGTAAAAAGTTCTGTCTGCCAGCACTGGGGTGGAGATGCTGGACTCTTGCCTCAGATGTTAAAGAAGTTTATCCTGCTGTCCCAGCTAGAATTCAGGGCCTTCGTATGACTTTATCTTCATAATTATGATATAATTCTGGGCGAGGGCCTTTATCTTGCTCTCGGTTGTCCCGTTTGAATACCGAAGTTAATTTCACCAGCCTGCAGAACACCAAGGAGCCCGGCCAAAGGAGTAAATACAGAGTTACTCCAGCGCTTATCACAGTCATCCTGTTTTGGTTCTCGAAGATGTTTTGGGAAGGGCAGTGGCCCAAACAGGCAAAAATCCTGAGAGTCTGGTTTCTTAGAACATCTGCTTCCCCACCCTGGCCCGAATCTCCTTTCTCCCTAGCCTTGTTACCCCACCCTGTTGTCCACATCTCTAGTATGGGCCCTGGTAAAGTCACATGTCTATAGGCCCAGTATTCAAAGGCATCCTTAGAGTAGAAGATAGGAAGTGGGCACCTGGTTGTTAAGTGGCACTGGGATAAGAGTGAGGAGATCCAAGGTCTGCTTCACCCTCAGCATGATCCAGGGCTAGCCTATACTGTCCTGCTGTCTGTTTCTTTTCATCTTGGATATGGAGGGACAGAATCCTGCCCTGTGTCTGGTCTGTGTGAAGGCAGGATACATTCACTTGTTTTTGGTCTTTGATTTTTTTCAAGACTACAGATGTAAAAATTTCTGCCAGTATTAGTACCAGTCACCTGCAGGCCAGCTCAAGACATCAGCCCTCTCCCTGTCACCACAGTACCTGATGAAACGGCTCTAGTGTTGCCAGGGAAACAGAATCATGGCCAGGGCCTATGGGAGCAGCAAAGAGACCCGGGCTGGGGACAGGGGAAGATGGAGCCAAAGCCTAAGACCCTGGACACCCTGAGTGGTAAAGAGAAAACCAGTACCTGTCCCAGAGACTTCTGACCTCCACTTTATATGGACATTTAAAGGGTTTCTCTGAAGGGTGGGAGCTAGGAGGAGGTGGAGGGGAGGCCCTAAGTATGCAGAGCAAGACCCACCTTTGGTCTTATTCGCCACCCTCTCTCAGTTCCATCCCCAGGGTTCATAACTCCTTGCCAAGCACACAACAGTTTGTACTTAATGCCTGTTGCTGCCAGCGGTTGTATGCCCTCAGGAGTGCAGTCGTTACCTATGCAGATATATATGCTGGTTGTCTCCTTAGTTTGCAAAATCAGAGGTTAGGCTTAGTGTCATTAGTTTGTTTTTTTTTTTTTAATTTTTATTATAAAGATGTGGGGTACATTTCAGGGTCAGGTATATAAACATTGATCATGCAGGTACCCTTGTTGATGAGGTATGCCCCTCCCGTGTCATTAGTTTTTAATTGGTAGCATGGCATACCTGCTCTCACCTGTGTCTCACCAGAGAGTATAAACTTAAGCTTGATTCTGGGCAAGTCTTACTCAATTTCTGGTAGTAAGAAATAATATTCCATGGAAAAGTGCCCAAAGGATATGCCAGCCATCTATCAATCTAAAAGGTCTGGGTCAAACCAGACCCTCAGAAAGTTATATGCTTAGACTACCATGTGTTGCCTTTGCTAAAACCACTTTTTTAAAATGGCATTTCAGTATTTTCCTTTGGCTTACTTAGAAGCTGTGGCTAAAAATAACTACAGATTAGGAAGCTCATGCAGGACCTGCTCTTGGGCTGTTGTTGAGGGTGTTGCTCACTAGGCCATACCGAGCCTCTTTAGGAGACCCATAGAAGATATTTAATCCGGCCCCACCACCAGGAGATGCCATTCTTAGGAGAAACTAGTTTGGTTTTGTCTTTTGGACATAATTGTGAATTTTGTTGTAGGTTCTGTTTTCCTGTTTGCTTAGGCTAGGAAATTCAGAACCATATGTATGAGTCTTTTTGTGTACCAAACCCCCAGGTTTTACTTTGTTTTCCTTGCCTCCCTTTTCATCCCCCTTGTTCTTTCCTCCAGATACATAAGATGCATGACCTGTTTATCATCGGCAGCGGCGAGGCCATGCTGCAGCTCATCCCTCCCTTCCAGTGCCGAACACATTGTCAGTCCATGGCCATGCCAGTAGTGCCAGGGAATATCGGTATGTAGGACCCAGGAGAGCAGGGTCACACCGGATCTTCTGAGCTTTTAACTAAAGCAATATGTTAAGAATCAAATATTGCCTTCACAAAGGTTCCGTTAAGTAGAATCAAAAGTAGCATTTTTTTGTTAGCAGGATCAATATGTATGCTGAGAAATGGAACAACTAATGAGAAAATGTAATAGAGAGAAATGTCTTGTAAATGCAACATTTGGAATGAATATGTCAGTTGGTCATAGAAACTTCATATCGGAAAATATTTAGACCAGTTCCTCGTTCTACAGACAAGGCGTGAGACCCAGAGAGGAGAGGTGACCATCCCAGGGCCCCACCATCAGTCAGGCGAAGCATCAAGTCTTAAGTGTCTGCTTGAACAGTCAAGCCAGGAGAGGAACAGTTTAAGATTACAAGACTGGACTCAGTGGCTCAGCCTGTAATCCCAGCACTTTGGGAGGCCGAGGCAAGTGGATTGTCTGAGCTCACGGGTTTGAGACCCACCCAGGCGACTTGGTGAGACCGCGTCTCTAATAATAAAATAAAATAAAATAAATCTCTACAATAAAATAAAAAACTAGCCGGGTGTGGTAGTGAGCACCTGTAGTTCCTGCTACTTGGAAGGCTGGGGCAGAAGGATCACCGGAACCCAGCAGGCCGGGAGAGTGCCACTGTATTCCAGTCTGGGTGACAAAGTGAGACTCCAACTCAAAAAAAAAAAGATTACAGGAAACCCTTTATATACTCATTCTGCAAATAAAACAATGCAAAGCAGTTTATAAGGCTAATGGTCACACAAGGAAGTGTTACCTTCCATGGCCAAGTCACAGCTTCATAGTGATGACTCACCCTTGACTCTGGTTCCATGTTTTCCCAACTGTGACTTGTTCTATGCCTTGTATCCTAAAAATCTGGTCCAAAGAAACAGATTTGAATCAACTGCTGTCAGTAGCAATCAGTTTGACAGCAGAGTTTTCTTGGCAGAAGCAAATAAATCCACAAGCGTCACCATTGACCTTGTTTTTCCTGCCTCTCAAAACCTGGGCAAGACCTGGAGTCACCGGCAGAGCCCAGACTGGGTTTCCAATTGATTTCTCTTAATTGTTTCCATTCAAAAGACCCCTGAGCCCCTAGAAACCTCTCACCTCATAAGAGAGCAGGGAACAGACTGCAAACTATGTCAGCCTTTAATCCAAGTTACATAACTCTTATTTCAATTTAGAAAAGAGCAAGAAAAAGAATGTACAAATCAAGCATTAACTAATAATGTAGCACAGCTGTTCTGGCTCCTGGAAAACCCCACAAAAAAGGATTCTTAAATTGATCTGAACTCTTTTTCCTGTAGTTGAGTGACTTTATCATGAAGGATGATGATTGTAAAAAATCTTGATGGCATGTTTGGGTTTGGAGTGTGTGGCTGTGCTTGACAAATGCCCAACAGTTCAAACAACTACAGAAACACCTTAGTTATCCAAGTTCTAGCTTTCCAGCTCCCACAGGCATCCAGAATTGTAAAATTAGGGATAGAGGGAAAAAAGATGTCTGGCAGTGATCAAGGATGCTTTGAGCCTCAAACACTGGTGCAGATAGTCCAAAACAGCCTAACGTCCAGAGCACGACACCACCCATGCTGTGACTGGCTGGTTTGTTGACCAGAAGGATAGGAGCCTTGTGGACAGCAGTGAAAGCAAGTCTAGGAGAATAGGTTTCTGGAGGGGTGGGGAGGCCAGTGGGCACCTGCAGCAGTGACAGAAATAGACATGATGGCTGCAGCAGCCACAGTTAACAGTGAGGACAGGAAAGCACACCCTGACAAGAGAGAAGAATGATTCGGTGGATGTAGGACACATGGCCTCTCCAGTACATTAGAATGACACTTAAGAATGACACTGTGAGCCAGGCTCGGTGGCTCAGCCTGTAATCCCGTGCCTTTGGGAGGCTGAGGTGAGTGGATTGCCTGAGCCCGCGGGTTTGAGACCCGCCTGGGCAGGCGAGACCTCATCTTTACAATAAATTAAAAAAAAAAAAAAAATTAGCCGGGCATGGTAGCGCGCGCCTGTAGTTCCAGCTACTTCGAAGGCTGAGGCGGAAGCATCGCCAGAGCCCAGCAGGTCGAGGCTGCGGTGGCCGGGAGCAGCCACTGCACTCCAGTTTGGGCGACAGTGGGACTCCAACTCAAAAAAAAAAAAAAAAAAGAATGACACTGTGACAAGCAAATTCTATGACTTTTGACAAAATACACATTGACTTGTGGAGGGGGGAGAGGTTACAGATCACCAGAAAACCTTTGGTTGGAGTCATTCTGAGGAATGACATGGGATCAGACACAACATCTGCAGTCACTGTACAGGACAGTCACTGCTCATCGTGACCTTTCCTGAGTCACCAAGTAAAGGTTAAATTCTATTTAGTGCTCTCCATTTAAAGATGGGTGGAGTCCATCATATTCTTGAAAATTTTCCATCAAGAGATTGTTTGTTTTAAAATTTTATTTTATTTTGATAAAAACATGTAACATGAGACCTACCCTTTCAACACATTCTTTTTTTTTTTTTTTTTTTTTTTTGAGTTGGAGTCTCACTCTGTCGCCCAAACTGGAGTGCAGTGGCCGCTCTTGGCCACCGCAGCCTCGTCTGCTGGGCTCCGGGGATCCTTCCGCCTCAGCCTTCTGAGTAGCCGGAATCACAGGCATGAGCTACCACGCCCAGCTGATTTTTTGATTTATTGTAGAGATGAGGTCTCGCTGCCCAGGCAGGTCTCGAACCTGCGGGCTCAGGCAATCCACTCCCTCAGCCTCCCAAAGGCGCAGGATTACAGGCTGAGCCACCGAGCCCAGCTCAACACATTCTTAAGTGTATGGGATTGTATTGTTAACTAGAGGCACAATGATGTTCAACAGCATCAAGAGATTATTGAAGAGCTAAAGTTGTTAAGTTTACCTTCATAGGTCACTCAGGTGATATAGGTCAGTGTTTCCTAAATGATTCTTCACATTACCTATGACCCCATGGTTGGGACCAGGAAATGCTTGGAAAGGCTTATGGCATACAGGGTTCTTGAGTCATTCGACTTTGGGAAACGCCTGTCTTGTTAAAGTGTAGTGCGCCGTAGTATGTCAAAGACTCTGAAAAGCCTTGGAGGAAACTAGTGGTTATCAAACTGCCTTGGCCATGGAAACCTGTTTTCTTTGGAATATCTTATAGGACACTATTGTTTGCAGAACCCAGTTTGGGAAATGCTGGTTTAGGTTAAGCTGGATGTTCTGTAATGAAACAATTTTATAGATAACGTCACAAAAATTGGATAGTAGAGCCTGTTCCCCCCGGAATCTGTCCTGTCTTCTTGCTGAAAAAGCTGAGATCAGTCTAAGAATTGATGCCCAATACCAGACCATCCTGCCTTTGTAAATCTGCTGAATTGATCCAAGTTCATACCTTTTCTTTTTTTTTTTTTTTTGAGTCAGGATCTCACTCTGTTTCCCAGACTGGAGTGCAGTAGCATGGTATTGCTCACCACAGCCTCAACCTCCTGGGCTCAGACGATCCTTCTGCCTCAGCCTCCCAAGTAACTGGGATACAAACGTGTGCCTCCATGCCTGTCTAATTTTTTTTTAATTTTTTTGTAGAGATGAAGTCTTGATATGTTGCCCAGGCCTCAAGCAGTCTTCCCATCTTGGCCTCCCAGATTGCCAGGATTATAGCCACATAGTCTTCTATGTTTAAATGGAAACAAGAGAAATCCACTGGAAACCCAGTCTGAGCATTGCCTGTGACTCCAGGTCTTGCCCAGGTTTTGTGAGGCAGGAAAAAATAAGGAGGTCAATGATGACGCTTGTGGATTTATTTGCTTCTGCCAAGAAAACTGCTGTCAAACTGATTGCTACTGACATACCTATAATCCCAGCCACATGACTTTTGTTTCCATTTAGAAATAAAAATAATATGCAAATCAAGCATTAACTAATACTGGAGCACCGCTGGCCTGGCCTGCCTAGGTGAGGGGTGGTGATAAGGTGTTTTGGTTCAAAGTGGCTCCAGTTGGATGTCTGGATACTAGGAGTATTTATGCTAGGAGGAGCTAAAAAACCTTCAGAGCAAGATTTGTCTTTGACTCTGTAGGTGCACCTGGGGCCAGTGCTGGCAGGCCCCCCTTGCTCTTGCCTACAGGTGTACCCAACCCCTGACACTGACATGCATTCCTTTCGCTGTTTCTCTTCAAGGCTATGCCGACACCACCCACTGGAAGATCAACATTATAGTCAGAGGGTCCCAGCCTTTGGTCATCTGCGATGGAACTACTTTCTCAGAACTGTAAGAGACAGAACTATTTACAGGAGCAGTTTTGAGAGCTGAAAACCAAGTTGAAAGGGGGAAATAAAAAGCAAAAACGAGGAAACCGGTTTCCAGGGGTTGGTTGCTTAGTTACCTGCCCTTTGCATGCATGTGCAAGCCAGCTGTGAGCTGTAAGGGAGCGGCAGGGCTGAGCCCTCCTGACTCTTCCTGCACACGGCTCAGGAATGATTCTAGCCCAGCTTGGCTAGGACTCTGCCAGCACCCATCTGTGAGAGACTGAGCTCTTCCAGGCCTTTGGGCACTGCCCCTCAGTCAGGAAACAGGGCTGGTGCCCTCCTTCATCCACATGGGCAGCGGAGAGGGCAGCTGGGAGGTTTTGACATCAGAGCCATCCTTCACCAGGTGGACCTGGTCATCCCCATCTTCCTGGACTTTTTTGGAAAGCCATGGCTGATTGCAGTTTCTCAAGCAGAATAGAATCTAGAACCAGTGAAAGAAGATCACATAACCTTGAATTGCCCTCAAGAAGTATACTAAACAATTCTTCAGATTATACCTAACCCCACAGATGGGACCAGGAGCCCCTGGGAAAGACCCTTGGCAAATCGGATTCTATAACCCAGTGCCCATGGCTCTTGGCCTCTCCATGATGCCAGGCTGGAGTCTGGTTATAATTCAAAATGGTGGTTCCTAAGGTCACAGTGGCCTCTGTTTTATCAGATTCTTACGCCCTCACCCCCTCCCTCCCCTAGCCTGTCTGGATGTTTTCTGAGAAGCTGGGCTCTAGTCCCCTGCCTGCCCATTACTGCTGAGACAGCACTGCTCCTGTCAACTGTGTTGCCTTTCCCAATGTCTTCAGAGGGGAGTGAGAGAGAGTAGCTGGCCTGGGAGAGGGTGCCTCCCTGGGTTTGATCTTTAGGGTCTGACTTTCTGCAGAAAAGATGTTTTACAGATGTGTCAGGGCTGATGTTGTAATGTGGTTGGGGAGGAACTCCAAAACATGTTTGCCAGCTGGGCGTGCAACTGACTGTATGATTCTCTGACTTAAAATGGTTTCTCTCTTTGTGCTGGGAAATAAGGTGAGGTATGTTTATTTTTTTGTGATAATATAAAGCTGTGTTTTTCTGATTGGATGGTTCACTGTGCTCATTGTTTTCCCCCAAGTGCTTTTGGTGTATACTAATCAAATAGTGTAAATAAGGATGCTCTTTTCCTGTTCTTTTTTTTTTCTTTATTATTCTTTAATTGACACTGCTAGATACTTGGCCATTGGTCATGCCATCGCCAAGATGAAGAAAAAACAAACCATACTTTGGCCTTTGAATTGCAGAAATCAGATGGATACAGTAGGTGTCTATGTCAGAATTATTGACCAGAGGCAGACAATGGGGAGGGACAGGGTCATAGCTCTTTATGGGATCCTCTTCCCTCTTGGAGGAGCCATGCACCTCATCTCAGGTCCTTTTCTCTGGGCATCTCATGAACGGCCTTGAGGCCCACCGAGCTCCTGAATGGCCTGTTTGTGGACTTGTAAATGGCAAGCAGAGGTCACAAAGCTTGGGGTGGAAACATTCGGAGCCTCCTCCATGGGCTGAATGAAACTAGGCTGAACTGTACCTGAGGGAATTTTTCCTTAAAAGAATCAACGCCTTGTGTTGTTTAATACAACACAAAACCAAGTCATTTTGTACATATAAAAGTCCCAATGCTAAACAATGATGATTTAAGAGGTTTTAAATCAGGAATCATCTAGAGGCCAGCTTGGTGCAAGCTTTGAGAGCCTTCTGCGGTATCCTTACCCTGCCACTCAGTGGGGAGGAAGACCCATAAACAAACCTAGAGAGGCCTCTCAGAGTTTTTTAAAATGAGACCCTCCGAGTTAACAAGAGAAGGTTTTTCAGCAGCAAAGCAGCTGTTTTGATCATTGAGACCTCTGTTTTGTTTCTGTGAATTACCCTGTGTGCCTTCCCCATTTCTCTCCTGCCCTTTACATTTTGAATGTCCATGAAATACCCACTTCAGCTCAGAACTTTGAAAGCTAAGAAACCCTTGCATGTGTTGGTGTTCTGAGCTTCCCAGGGCAAGTACCCCAAGGCCCCTGAACTGTTTTGTAGTTCAACAAAGAATGGTTCTAGCAGAAGATAAGTCAAGGCTTTTGTGCGTACACTACTCACTTTATTCAAAATCAGATTTGAGTGTAAATTTGTGTAAGGAGAGAATTCTCCAAAGAGAATTTTCTAGATACACAAAAGTAATTCAACTTCTTCTCAGGGTAATTCCAATAAGCAGAATTGACTACTGTCCAGGCCTTCAGGAATGGCTGGGGGTTGCTGGGCACTCTGTTTCTAGTTCTTGAAGGCTTTATGCAGCATGCCACAGGATTTCCCCTGCTCTCTAGCTGGAAACAGCAAAAGTTCCTCTCCACCCAGTGTGGGAAAGAGGGTCGTCAAGATGAGGAATTGGGTTGTAGGGGCATGATAGGACCACCTGACCAGTGCCCCACCTCCACCAGCACGATGAGAACACAACCACAGGCTCTCCAAAGGACTCACTCATAAGTTTGTTGAGCATTTACTAGGAGGTGACATGGCGATGCCCTCTGCACATGGGCTAGGTTCACTTTACTGTAGGCTTCCCCTGCGGCGATGCTTATCCCCAGAGGTCAGCTCTCTGGGCAGACAGGCTGCTTTGGTGCCAGGCTGAAGCATTTATGCCCAAATGTTCTGAGCTCTGCAGCAGTCAAGTATTGAATGGGTACCACACCTGTCTTGGTTGATGAAAACAGAAAGAGCTTGTCCTCAGTTTCTTTTTTAGGGAAGGGAGGGAGTAACATAGCAATAGTTTATGAAAACAAGTCCACTATCCAGTGAAATACTGAACAGTCTGAAATGGGCATATGTGAGCTAATTTTCAGAGAGAAAGGAATAATGATGTTTGACCAGTCCGTTATAACTTATACATTCCTGATACCCATGATCTCCTTTCATCTTCACCCAGTCCAGTCCAGCAGGTATTAGATCCTCATTGTAAAGAAACTGAAGCTTAGGACATTAACTGCTGGTAAGTGGGTAACTGAGTCTGTGGCACGTTGTTTTCCTGCTACATCTCAGCGTGGTGCCCCAGAAAGGAGCTGTGGGTTTCGTTGACTCAGGTGTGCCCCACTGGGTGGGAGAATCTAGGAGCGAGAGTCAGCCAGCCAGGAACTCTGCAGGGTTTGTTTTTAGAACTCTTTTGGACAGGAATGGAGGAAGAAGGAATCCATCCGTATGACTTTTATCAAAATCCTTTCACGTTTCCCTCCCCACTTGAAAACTCTTAAAAAGTGAATGTAGCTGGAGCACAACGTTGTCCGACCATGTTCCTGTCCCCACATTCTTCCAGATGTGGGACCAGAGAGGAGATTCTGTCTAGTTACAGTTGTGGGTCCCCCTAGAGTTTACATCACTTGTTTTTCGGTTCTTAGTTTTCTGTTCCCTTCTTCCAAAATCCAGAATAGGCCTCCATGTACAATTATTTTAAAACAAAACCTTAAGTTCCGTAGCTGCAGGTTATGGCCTCAGTCATTCTAATATAGTCTGGAATGAGTTTGCTTACAATCCAGTCACTTCATAGTGAACGTTCACACCTCAAAGCAAATGTTTGCCTCACATCATCTCCTTAAGGCCCGAGTATAGGGGAAAGAGGGAAAGCTGCATGTCTGTTTGCATGGAGAGAGGTGATTTTGTCTACCTTTTGAGAATCAGTCATGAAACTGAGGGGTCTTTTAGGCTTTCAAGCTCTCCTAACAGTGGAGGAAAAACTCCTGAGTATACAAGTTCTATGTTCATGACCTTTCCAGTAGTGACCCGTTGTGCACTGGGATTTACTGGAGGAAGGGAGCGTCAGAGATATACTTTAAAATCGTGTTTTAGGTTGGAATTCTCTCCATGCTTGGACCTGCAGATGTCATGTGCAGAGCCCACGCATGTCAGGGCCAGGAGGCCAGAAAGATGAAGGCACTTACTCCCTGTAGCATATGAAATCTGGGAACCTCTAGGAACATGCTGTGTCACCAGCAGCAAGCGTCTCCCTGTCCTCCTCACTCCCAGCCTCCAGACAGCCTGGCGGCTTCTTCTGCCAAAACATGTCAGGGGAGGGACAGGTGCTCTCCCTCTAGCATGCTGCATCCAAGGCCACCCGCCCTGGACACAGCATGACTAAGTGATGGCCTTGAGGAGAAGCCCTCCAGCCAGCTTGTCTGCTGTCCAGGTCCCTCAGTGTCTGCTTCCCTGCCCTGCATAATTTAGGCATTAGTGCTAAATACATCTGTCATTTTCTTCTCTCTGGAGACGGTGAAATGTCCAGACCTTTTCAGCCTAGTGGCGAGAAGGAATGTTACATAACTAAGTGGAGGCCTGGAACTGTCAGGACACAGTAGGCCTGGACTGGAAACCCTTCCACCTCTACTTAGCACGTCTGTCAGTCAGCCAGCAGCCGACAAGCAAGGGATTGACCTGGCTGAATTGTGAGTTTCAAGAAGAAACTGGGGAGTTGGGCCATCTGCTTTGTGCCTGGCTTCATGTACTCTGTCACTCCTCACCGCAGCTCTGTGGGGTAGGCGGAGTCGTCCTGTGCAGCCACCTTTACTCACACCAGTGTCCCGTCCTTCAAGCCGCAGCCTCCAGAGCATCTTAGACCCTTCCAGGAACAAATGCTCACTTATCCATGAGGATTAGTGACAGGAACCAACAAATATATGTCACTCCCAGAGAACCTCCAGTCTTGTCATAGGCGACTTTCTACACTTCCTTCCAGAGTTTTACCCACAGAAAAATACTAGCTGCCAGGTCCGGTGGCTCCTGCCTGTAATCCCAGCACTTTGGGAGACCAAGGCGGAAGGATTGCTTTAGCCCAGGAGTTTGAGACCAGCCTGAGCAACATAGTGAGATCTCATTTCTACAAAAAATCAAAAAATTAGCTGGATATGGTGGCTGGAAGACTGAGGCGGAAGGATCACCTGAGCCCAGGAGGTCGAGGCTGTGGTGAGCTGTGTTTGTGCCACTGCCCTACAGCCTGGGCAACAGAATAAGACTCTGTCTCAAAAAAAAAAAGAAAGAAAAAAAAGAAAAATACTGGGTGTGATCTTTTTCTCCTCCCTTCCTCCCTCCCTCCTGCAGAAAGTTTTAGAGGAGGTAACATGAGGAAGTCAGAGAATCAGTGTGCAGCGTTCCCCAGTCATCAGGGACAGGAGTCAGGAACAGTTACAGTTTCTCTTCAGGGAACCTGGGTGTGGTAGACCTGGATGGTCCCAAAGAGCAGACAGCTGTCCCAGCCACAGGGGCTCTGAATGATCCTGAGCCATTAATGTGTGTTCCAAGTGCAGGCTGTCAACAGTAACTAAATATTCCGCAAACGTGTAAAGACATCCCCATGTAAAGAATGTATGTAAATTAAAGTTTCATTTGTGTAATGAAAGTTTGTACTTTTTGCAATTAAAGGTGTATGTTGGTTGATAAGAACTTTCCTCTTAGTGTCATTCTTTAATTCCCAGTTTCCCCTTCTATACTCGAGAAACGTCTAGCCACTGCTCACACGGCCAGCTTCCAAGGCTCCTGTGAGTCTTACCAGAGTTGCCTGCCCCCGCCCAGCTTTGGTCTTCTCTGACATTTGCACCCAGCATTGTACTTGCTTGCTGTGCCCAACGTGGCATCTGATCTGCTGTTCCTGTGAATTCTCAGATCTCAGTCCTCCTGTCAAGACCCTCCCTATTCATGTACTTTGCCCAGAATTCAAATGGGAACCTGGGTGCCTTTTCCCTTCTTACCAACTGGCTGCACATGGCCCAGAGGCCCTTCCAATGACACCTCACCCATCAGTGTCCTTGGTTCTCACAGAAGGACAGCTGGGCCACACTTGGAGGGTTCTAGGCCCCTTGTCAGCTCATGCCAGCTACTACCAGATAACAAACCACTCTCAGCACTCACTCAGTGCAGATTTGAGTCAGGTCATTTTTTGGTGTTCGTATTTGTTTGCAATTTCTTTTATGTATACACAGCTTTATATAAATGCACAAATAGGACCATTTCTTAGCTATGCCTGAGTGTCCGGTTTTATTTTCCTTTGTTACTTGCTGTACCCTTCCTCTTCCCCATGC